CAAGACACATCGTTTTGACAGATAGACGGGTAAATTGATAGGTGGATAGGGAAGATAGATAGATAGATAGATAGATAGATAGATCTATAGATACATAGATAGATAGGAAGATTGACAGATAGACAGATACGAAGATAGGTAGACAGCAACATAAATCGGTAGACGGAAAGGTAGACAGATAGACAGATAGAGATATGGGCGCCCTCGACCCCAAACCCTAAAACCTAAAACCGTTTTTTTCTAAACCCTGCACCCTAATCCTTAAGCCCTAAACAAAAAAAAAACCGAAAATACTGAACCCTAAACCAACTTTAAAACCCTAAAAGCTTCTAACAACCTAGAGCCCTAAGGGAGACCTGGCAGGGGGACCCTTTGGGTGGTTGCTCTGTGGCCCCGGAGACATTCGGAGTCCTCACGAGGGAGCTCAGGAGGCGAGGGTTGAGGCTAGGGTTTGTTTTGGGGTTTAGGGTTTTTGAGGTTTGGGGTTTGGTTACAGGACTTTTGGTTTGGTTTACTTTGAAACTGGATGTGTGCCGATAGAGTTTGTATATCTATTTACTTTTTTTTGGACTTCGTTAGGGACTTGGTATGTAGTCTTACTTGTCGTTTACATCGGGTTCGTAGTGCCGCAGTCGGTTTCAGCTTGGATGAGCCCCTGCGTGACATTTTGGCGGACCTCTTTCCGGCCGCTATGTTCTGGGTGGCGATGTTCCACGACGAAGTGTATTTGGTGGTCTCTTGCCTTCTCTGCATGAGTTCCATTTAGTTTCGGCATAGTAACGGCCGTTGACTTGGCAAAGTGCGTTTCGTGTGGCCGGAACTTGGTGAGTGCAGACAGCTTATTGTGGATGCATCGATGCTTGCTGGACCATGTGCTCTACTTGATTCTCACATGCATTGTCATGTTCGGAGGACAGTTGCTCACTTGTTTCAATACTTAGAAAGGATTCCGGGTACATTATCCACAAGTTCTCTTAAAGAACCTCAAGGCTTTAAGGACTGTGTTACTGTTTATTCAGGCCTGTGATTACACCCTCATAAGACCCCTTAGGGTAACCCTGGTAACTTTTTTGAAGAGAACCCTTACAAGAAACCTACATAACTAATGTTCTGAATCCGAGCTTGGGTTGAAGAATCATTTGAACCCGCCGAGTCGTCTCCCAAGACTCTCCATGTTGGCCTTAGGTTTTTTAAGGCTTCGAACGGCAAGGGGTTTGTATAATTGGGGTTTCAGGGTTTGGGCTTTGAGGGTTTCAGGGTTTACGATTACAACCCTCGCATGGAGACGCGCCTTAAACGTCAGCTTGGGATAAAGCACTGAAATCTACCTGGGTAAAAAGCTATTCAGGTTTATTTCAGTTTTGTTAAATCTACTTTGGCAGACCTGTCCATCCAATGAGGGTTACAATTCAGTGGTTTATGCTCGGACGGGGTGATACAAGCCTATGTTCCTGACTCTGAAAGCTTAAAGCACACGCCCCTAAGAGAAACATTTCGGTGTCATGGTGTTTGGCTTGGGGTTTACGCCAAACCGTAAAAGTCGCTTGGGTTTAGTCCTTTAAGGCATTCTCCAAACCCTAAACCCTAAATCCTAAGCCCATTCTCCGATATCCGTACCTTGGCTCGAGGTGCTCTCCCCGAAGCCCGGGCACTCTCAGACCCTGTAAGCATGCTCGCCCTAACTCCTACGTGTTCCTAATCCCAAAACCCCAAAGCCCTAAACCCCAAACCCTAAAATCCTAAACCCCTACAATGCCCTACAATCACATCAGCCTACCGCCCGAAATCCCAAATCCTACAGCCCTAAAAGATTAGATCCCTATAAACAAACCCCTCAAACCCCCTGCAAACCCTTCGGCCCAACAGACTGGCTGCTGAGACAGCTGGGGGACGCGTGGTCGGAGCCTCAGTCTGCCATCTTGTTTTTCGGGTTGCAGGGTCTTGGATTGAGGGTTCAGGGTTGAGGGTTTCAGGTTTTAGGGTTCAGTTTAAGGGTTGAGGGTTTAGCGCTTAATTGCGGTTCGGGGTTTTGGGCGTAGGATGGAAGGTTCAGTGTTTAGGGTCAGCATACAGGGGCTTCGTCTGGGGCTTTCGGGCTTGCACCTTGGATGGTCGGGGCTCGGGCGTTGGACCCGTTTACGGTGTATTAGGGTCAATAAACCCTGAACTCTAAACCCAAGTAGGGTCTAGGGTGTATAAGGGTTTAGGGTTGGTGTTAGGACTCCTTCGGTGCCAGGTTCGAGCCGCAGTACAGCTTCCACTGACATCAATCGCGGGATTGCCTCTTCTGTTCTTGGGATGTGAGGGTTTTCCCTAGGCCCTGAACCCTCAACCCAAAAAGTCTCGAATCAGCTTTGGGTCCGGGTTCTTCAAGAATCGCATCTCTCAAGAAAGCGGAACCTTTCGTCTCCTCATGCAGTGCGGAATAAACCCGTGTCCGCTCGCAATCTCTGCAGACTCTTTCGGCTTAGGCTCTATGTCACAAGCCCTAAACCCTTAAGCCCTAAACCCTTAAGCCCTAAACCCTTAAGCCGTTAAGCCCTACACCCTAAACCGTCGCAAATCCCGAAGACTTGGGCCTCGAGTCCAGACATCTCCGACTAGGCGGTGCGGCAGAGTTAAACCCGAGCCTCCAAAGTCCCCCCACAGTAAACAGTAAGGGGTTTAGGGTGTGGGATTTAGGGTTGGGAGTACCATAGCTACTTTCGCAAAAGTTTAGGGTGCGGGGTTTAGGGTTGGGAGTACCACAGTTACTTTCGCAAAATACATGTTCCTGCGATAGCTAACCTAAGCCCCAAATCGCCCACCATGTGTTCTTACAAAGCCCACACTCCAAGCCCAAAGCCATAAAAACCCGCCGGAACCTAAGACCCGACATCCTGAAACGCTCAACTCTACGGCTCCCAGCGCTAAACTCCAAACCGTGAGATCCGGAAGCTGTGGGGTTTAGGGTTTGGGGCTTATGGTTCCTGTGCAACTAGGTGCAGGTGATTCGCTGGTCAGTAAGGGTTGAGGAGTTTGGTAGTTAGGTTTCCAACTATAGAGTCCGTCAAAAACAGGGTTTGGGATTACTGGACCTTTTCCCAGCTGGCCTGAGGCGTTTGCCCTCGAGGGCGGCTACAACACGGAGTGCCTGGCACGATGTGTGGAAGAGGCTGCCTGGTCGTGGCTGAGAGTTCTTTCGGGACGCACAAGTAGACACAACATGTAGTTCAGTCTAGCTCCTTTGTTGGCGGTCTCCTGCCCTTGTGAGGAGCCAAGACCTGCTCTACCCCGCTTCCGAACAAAATCCTAAGTGAGGGCTGGCACTTGGCCTGCTGAAAGACGCAAATATCCGTCCATCATGAGTGTAGGTCACCATAGCTCCACATCCTTTGATTCTATCATTATTTTGCTCCACACACCTGGACAGCCCCGCGTGAACAGGGCTCCATACCCCATAACCCCAACTCCGCGGCCATCAGGTTGCCGCAGCTTTGGTCGAGACAGCTGGTATCCCAGTCAGCTGAATCTCCTGCTTTGACGGCCCTAAGCCCTAAGCCTTAAATCCTGAACCCTAGGTTCAGAGTCCCGAGCCTGACTGATCCCCAGGCCCTAAATCCAAAACCCGCAAACCCTTAGCCAAAGCTTTAAGGCAACAAGCCTCACAGGCAAGAGGTCTGGGCTGTTCTTGTTCGGATCTCCTTGGTCATTCGATTGCGATCGCTGAGGGAGGGGGCTGGGGGGCTAGGACTTCTTGGGAAAAGAGGATGAGTGAATTTCCAGATTTAGGATTTGTTGATGACTATACTGCTGAAAGCAGCATGAGGCATGCTTAACTTGCTGATTAAGAGGTATTGGCCTATCTGAGAATCACGGCAGGTTAAGCTAGGGAAGAATCCGACTATGCAAATCGCAACTGGTTTCAACAATCCCGCAACACATCGTTGAAACCCATTCTGTGTGACAAATGGTTTTGGATGGTGGGTGGGTTCGCTAAGGTGTAGTTGAAGCTACCATTTCAATACTAGGGATGCATATTCATTGTATAGATACAGTTGTACGTATAGATAAAAATATGAATATACCTGTATATATATATATATGTATGTAAGATCTGCACACCTACATATGTACACGCATACATACATACGTTGCCTACATACATACATGCATGCATACATCCGTACATACATACACACACGCAGAAGGACGGACGAACGGACGGACGGATTCACGGACGGACGAACGGACATACACATACATACACATACATACACATACATACACATACGTACACATACATACACATACATACATAGATACATACATACATAAATACATGCATGCATGCATGCATGCATACAGACAGACAGACAGACAGACAGACAGACAGACAGACAGACAGACAGTCAGACACACATACCCACATACATACCTGCATGGATACATACATAGATTCACACATGCATACATGCATGTGGATCTAGGTCTGCGCACTTACTATGTTTACAACGGCGCTTCTCTTCTACCCTCGAGCCTTTCTTATATCGCCCTGAACCCAAAACCCCTCAACCCTAAACCTAAGCCCAACCCTTTTTGCAACGGCCTTGTCAGATCTCGACCGGACTGGTACCCAAACCCTAAAACCCAATTCAAAAGGGCTCCCGGCCCGCCGGAAGAGGAGCAGAACACTCGGCCCGGCTTCGGAGGGAAGCCTGCAGTGTTTTAGGGTTTCGGGGTTTAGGAGTTTAGGGGTTTAGGGTTTAGGGGTATGTGGCATGGAGTACTTAGGGGTATAGGGTTTAGCGGTTTAGGTTTAGGAGTTTAGGGGTTTAGGGGTTTACGCTCTCACAACTCGGACATGCCCGGCGAGGATCTACAGTGGGAAGTCGGCGTGATACAGTTTGCAAACCCTCGGGGTTTAGGGTTTAGGGGTTTTGGGGTTTTTCTAATCTCATAGTTAGTAAAGTTTCCGAATAGTTGGAAGCCGGATTAAGGACAGCTGGTGCTGGGATTCCCTATGCATTACTCTTACAGACCGAGGCTGTTGGGTTTCCAACTTCTGGGCTCCTGCTGTATGCAGTTTCTTGCCTAACCGTTTATCCATGTCTAGGTATGTTTGGTTGATGAGAAAGATATACTTAATTCCGCCGCTGTTTTCGCTGGACCAGAGATAGGATTGTCTGCCGTATCCGCGACTTGTGCTCCAGGAAGCTGCGTGAGTTGCTGACATCCAGTTTGTTATCAAAATGCAATTGCCTCGGGCAGACGCTGGGATATGCTAAACCACCCTTCTCTAAGACTGCGACAATCTCATCTGGTACCTCTGCAGTGACCTGGGGACACAACCCAGGCAGCTGGGTCCCTAAACCCTAAGCCCTAAAGGTCGTCAAGCTTATTGGGGTACAAGGGCCCACCTAAACCCTAAACCCTAAACCCTAAACCCTAAACCCTTACAAGGGCCCAACATCTGCCCTCCTCCTCCCCAGAACAGGTTAGGTCTCCCTCGGTACCTGTCTAGGGTCCCGACTCCTTTCTTGTTCCCCCAGGGGGTCCAAAGTACCTATATGGTAGAATGTAGGGTTTCTATAGTAGGACTTGTAATTATGATTTGGGAAAGTATCCCCCATAACAGTACCTAGGACTTTGGGTCCTGAACCTTTAAACCCCTAATCCAGCCTACTGCAGCTCTACAAACCCAGCGTTCGCACGAGCCAAGAAGGCGAAAAGACGACTTTTCGATTGTAAGCAGGCGTGCCTGCGTGGGTACTGCATTATATTCGATTGCGAAAGTCTAGCTGTCTAGCTATAGGGACTACAAAAGAGTTCTGCGACGTTTTTTTGACGCCCCCGCACACCCTTGTTTTTGGAGTCCCGAACCGTACACCCCTGCAGAGGGCAGGATGGGCTTTTCCTAGCAAAAGCAATTAAAGCAATACTTTGCATGTGCTTCTATCTGCAGTGTGGGGGCCGGGTTCCCAGGTTGTCTGGGGTATATTGAATATCTTATTATGCTTCTTGGCACGCGGACGTCCCATTTCAGTGCAAGGACATCGAAAGAAAGACTCTAACTCCTGAAATTCACAGCACCTCGAAAAAACAACACGCGTTCACCGCCTTCGACCCTCGAACCCCGAAGCCAAACCGACTTAAAGTTCGTTGTCACGCAGAATCCCCAGACTTCTTCTACACTTGAAGAGCCGAGAGCACCAAGTGCCAATGGTCTGCTAAGGTGGTCAGTAGCCATAGGACTGGCCGAGGCAAGTTGTAAGCGGACCCAAGGAATATAAAAGGCTTGTAGTAAGGCTCCGATGATTACAGCCCTTCAATGGTTCAAGAAAGCTGAGTTTAGTAGTCAAAGCTATAACTTAGGGGCTGAGTACCCTAGCCTAAAAAAGCTTAACCTTTGAATTATAGAGGATTATATAAGCCCCGAAAGGTTAAAGGTTACCCACTCAGCTACTAAGATAATATCAGAGGCCTTAGGAGCCACTTCAAGAGCTTCGGCCCAGACCTGCCCTCCAACGCCAGCATGTCGCCTGACATCTCAACCAATGGAATCTTCGGCTTGAGACTTTTGGGCTTCAAAGGGTATAGAGGTCCCTAAACCCTAATCCTTTTTGGGCTTGAACGGGTATAAAGGTTCCTGCGGGAGGAGGGGCGGGAAGAGGGGCCATCTAGTTTTGGTGCTTGAAAGTGTTTCTGGCCTGATTATCGCCTTCGCATGTCTGCTCGAAACTGTCTCGAGATGCTTCTCAGCACGACTTCCGCGATGCGGCAGATGGTTCACCCTCAAGCTCCCTGCGGAGACTGTGCTAGTTTGAGGTTCCAGGCAGGAACCGCCTACCGAAGCAAGGCACGCTGATGGTGAAGCTTTCTGATGTGCAAGAAACTTCAGACCCGTATGTGTTCGATGCGCAAAGTGGAGGGGCTTCTTTCATCGGAGACCTGCGAAAAGTGAACAAGCAAAAGGAGTGGGTACATGCATGCGTGCATGCCGCGTTACATGAACAAACGCGCCGTTTGCATGCATTTGCATCTGTATGTATCATGTATGTGCAGAGCTACGTTTATTTAGGTCTACATGCACATGTGCATATTATGCAGTCGTGTGTCCGGAATAGAAACAATGAGAGGAGAGATAGAGAGCGAGAGAGAGAGAGAGAGAGAGAGAGAATCTCTCTGTGAACCTGTGCGTTTCCGCGAGTCTGTCTATCTCTGCATCCAGAGATATTTCGAAGGGACAAAACAAACATGGACAACCCACCCAACTCTGCCTGAGCTTGTTTTGGCTTCCCCAGTTTTGCTCTTCGTAGCTGCTGTGTTGCCTTTAGTAACTCGGAACTGGGTAGGACCAGCTCGCAGGCCACAGCTGCATTCTGGAACCATTCTCTCTGCATGCACGGTCGCACTGAGCATACGGAATGGATCTTCGTGCCTGACTATTGATATGAGGAGGATCCTGGATTCTTGCCACGAAGGCAGGCCAGCCCGTCATGCTTGGTAAGGATTACTTGCAAACATCTGCGAGCCCTCCACTCAATGCCGAGAAATGCTCTAGTTCTCCAAAGGCTTGACATCCCCAGCTTGATACATGCTATGGTATACCTGCCTGGGCCAAGCTGAGTCGACAGAGTCGCACCTTGGAAGCAAGAACGGCTTCAATCGGCCAGTAGCAGGTCCTTCGCGAATAGGGCAGCTGAACTCGAGCCTTCAAACATGTGAAACCTGGACAATAAGGCACCTCGCCTACACCCTCAGAGATGTACCAAATGGGAGTTTCCGAAAATAGGGGACCCTAACATAGTACCCTAAATAGTAGGATCCTTATTATAAGGCCCCCAAAATAAGGTACCCCTAATTTTCGGAAAGTCCCAAATGTATGTATGAGCACTGTGAGCTTGTTCGGAAGACGGAGACGAGAATGTAATCTTAATGCTGCGAAGATTAAAGCACAAAGGAGCAACTAGCATTCATAACGTAGAGAGGACTCCTCACTGTGCAGGTGGGTTTGGGCATGCAGGTATTCCTTGCGCCTTACGCAATGATCAACTGGTCGGGTGCATTCAATAGCCTGGTATTTCAAGTATGGTACGACTTTTCACGGCCAGGGTGGATCTGAAGATTGGTTCGGATAGGTACTGAATAATGCAGAACTGCCAGGAACCACCACAACCCAGGTTCTTCGCAGGTTTTTTTTCTAACTTCATATAGAACTATGGGAACGCTACAAAAAATCGGATTGGGTAGTGTGCAGAGGCTAGAGACGCAACAAGCGTCGGCTTTCGCGTCGGGTGTTAGCCCTGACGCTATAGATTCCCGATCCCTACGTCCCAGGAAGAACTCATGAAGCAATGCCAGTGATTATATGGCCTCTCTTACCACCACCCTTCTGGCTCCTCATACAGCTACCTTAAACCAGTCGCATCTTCGCTACATAGATACGTATATCAATATACATACATATGCATTTTTACATAGAGCGTTACAGACAGCGAGAAAGAGAGAGAGAGCATCACTACTCCTACTGCAACAGTATCTGCGAGTGAAACCGAGTCAGAACACATGGAGTCAACAAGTGTTTGAGCAGAATGGGCTTAGCACGGTTTAGGATTTTCGCTGCCTCGGCCTTTCTCTCGCCTCGGTGAGAGCCTCAAACAACATCGGCCCTGCTGAGCCCAAGCACTGCCGTCTTCCACGCCGGAAGGACCTCAGAAAAATGCATTCTGGCATCATCTGCTTCAGGGTTCGGCAATGCTGCTTTCCGGGTTGAGGATTTAGGGCAGTGCCTGGCTGTTGCAAAGGCTGCGAGGATCCGACGCTCCGCTTGTCACTGCTAACTTTTACGGCCCCTTTTAACTCCCTAAACCCTAGCCCAACTCACCATAACAATAGTAATTGTTAGTACTATAGTAATGGTATAACAGTATTAGTAATTACAGTAGTAGTAGTAGTA